AGTTTTTATATCCCAAGATATTTCATTCTCAGAAACAACCCTATACTATTTCAATACAACATTCTCTCATTCCCCACAATTTTTTTTAAATTTCAGACCCGAAACATTAGTTTAGAGTTATGAAATTTTATAACTTTTTAAAATCTTCATCATAAGCCAGGCTTAAATCAGTGTGTAAGTACAATGTCTATAATGGAGCTTTACAGATTTGTATCTGCTGAGAATCGGGCCTTTAAGTGTATTAGACTTTCCACAGCAAAGTAAATGCATACAGAATACAGTATAAATTATTCACAGCAGCAACCATGCACTGCTGCTAGAACCATGATAAAAAGCATTAAGTGATTACATATGTCTTTTATATTTATAAATCACAACCTCAAATTTCTTTCAAACGCTAAACAGAGTTTCCAGAGGAAGAAGGTAAATAAAGGGTGTGATAAGAACATGTCTGTGAGCTCATCTAGACTACGCGGAACAGTCAAAAGAGGATATGCAAATTCTTCCAATCGCACTTTCGAAAGCAGAGTTTTCAAAAGTGAAAGTAGTTTAGACACGACTTTTTCTGCAACCCTGCCCTTTGTCGAAAAGCCGCAAAAACTTCCTGCAGAATTTGCATATCCCCTTTCGACTGTTCCTTATAGTCTACATGAGCCCACAGACATGTTCTTATTCCCGCATAATTTGCATATCCTCTTTCAACTGTTCCGCATAGTCTAGATGAGACCTGTATATCTGTAGTTTCTGGATTGACACATCATAAGTGAGATCACAGTCTCCCTTAAATCTCATTTTACATTATACTCTGTCCTAAAATGTTTTCTAAAATGACATTTAAAGAAGACTGTATACAAAGGGAAAGGGACACCTTGTGATGCATTAATTGAATTAATAACATGCATTGGTGTTCTCTACATTTTAATCAGATTTTGCAAGGGAAGTTGGTAATGCCAGATATTTAGTGAAACACCTATTAGAACAACACAGTTTGTTCTATTCAAGAAAATGCAGTGAGTATGAGAGAGCCTGTCCTCCAGTGTAAAGCCACTGATATGAGGATTGGGACAGATGTTGAGAGCTGTATTCTCACATTGGTCAGCATTTATGCTACAAAATTCACCCTCCTCTTATCAAAGTGATAAGAAAAACCTTTCAGTCCAGCAGATAATGATTTCCTTCTGCCAAAAAAAAAAACACAGATGTGTTTAATCTAGAGAACCAATTCTACTTATAAGCAGGGATCGGGGTGGCGAGTATAAGTAGTATTGCCTTCCCAAACCACCAGCCTGGCCTTACACATACTCCTCCCCCAGAATGCCTACTGTGGGCACACTCAGAGCAGAGTGTTGCTGCCCCCGAGTGCCTGCCTGCCCTTGCTGTGCTCTGGGGCAGGGGAGGCTGGAGCCATGTGCTGCCCACCCTCCCCATGCTCTAGGGCCTGGGGAGGCTGGGACCACGTGCCGCCAGCCTTCCCCAATGGTATTCCAGGTGGTGGGGTGGGGGTGGCTTTGCTTTCTGTGTTATGCTTATAAGAAGCAAATGGGATCTTAATAAGGGAAAAAGGTAATACACTGGGGCTACGTCTACACTGGCCCCTCTTCCGGAAGGGGCATGTAAATTTCACTAGTCGTCGTAGGGAAATCCGCGGGGGATTTAAATATCCCCCGCGGCATTTAAATAAAAATGTCCGCCGCTTTTTTCCGGCTTTTAAAAAAGCCGGAAAAGAGCGTCTAGACTGGCCCCGATCCTCCGGAAAAAGTGCCCTTTTCCGGAGGATCGGGGCCAGTCTAGACGCTCTTTTCCGGCTTTTTTAAAAGCCGGAAAAAAGCGGCGGACATTTTTATTTAAATGCCGCGGGGGATATTTAAATCCCCCGCGGATTTCCCTACGACGACTAGTGAAATTTACATGCCCCTTCCGGAAGAGGGGCCAGTGTAGACGTAGCCTGGGTTTTTTGAGACTACAATGGCAAAGCAGTTAGCATATGATTACATAGACACACACGCACACAGTCTCACCAATCAATGTTATATTCTCTAGTCCATGATCCATGGATTGATCATGGGCAGAGGAGTTGGGCTCTATCGGTCTGGGCCGATGCTCCAGTCATGGCAGGGCATCTCTGCTCTTAAAGCAAAACAGTTCTCCTTTTATAATAGTTCTTTCCCATCAGGATCAGTAAGTTCTGCATCATCATGCTGTTTTCCTGATGGATGTTTGCTAACTCTAGTTGTTTCTCTCAAAGGAATAGCGAGGGTGTTATGTACCCAGGGGCAAAGGAAAAATTTGTGCCCTCCCCCCCCCCCCCTACTGCATGGCAGAGCCCTGAACCTGCTGCGTGGCTGAGCCCAACCCTGAGAAGACGGGGGAGCTTGTACCATGTCTTCCCCCACCCTCTCCAGTTTGGGGCCAGGTCTCCCCCCTCCCCCACTACACCACTGGTTTCTCTTGCTCCTTATCTTCTTCATTCTGCCATGATAAGCTGGTTTCAATCAAAAATATTTTGTCCCAACTGATAAATACTTGCCTTCTTTCAGAGCTGACAATTTGCCCACTGCTTACATTTTGCTAGGGATATACAGCAATCCTCAGCATCTTGTGTCTGTTCTCAGCTTCTTCCTAGAACATTTGGATCAGTGGCCTTCACACTTATCTCTCATACCTTCCTCCCTCTCACACATAACAAGGTTTATGTCTTTGTTATAGAGAAGCAGCCTTTATTGCAGAGAAGCAATGTGCACATTTGAACAATGACATCAAATTACAATTTAAAAAAAACCAGTCATCATACCCTTTTACTTATTTTACAGTACAAATTTAAAAACTTAAAACAAAATTATAAGACTATCCCTACCTTGGAATCAACATGAAACACAAAATTCTGGCTGGTGCACCTTTACCAGTGGTAAGGTAAAGGTCCTTTCTGCTTTCAGAAAGGGTGGCTGGCAAAGTTCATTAAGACACATTTCTTTGCATACAGCTACGTTTTAACTACATGTCTACACCTGTGGGGAGTGGGGCTGGGCAGAAGGGGCAAAGCTGGGAGCAGGGCTGGGCAGCTTTTCTCCCCCAGTCCTACCCATCACCCCTGGCAGGGATCCTAATTTTCCATTATTTAAAATCCCCAATATTCCCTGATTTAAAGAGACACAAAAATTTATATTGTTCTGTGAATAAAATGAAATTAACTTTAGTTTCTCTAGCCACAACATGTATAGGTATTGGTTGTGCACAATGTTTGCTATAAAATTGTTTTATTGTTATAGAATTCCATTTACCTGAGCCTCCATTATCAAATTCTCCATATTAACCGAGTCAGCTTGGAGCTCTCTGGCTGAGCTTCACTGTTGTAGGAGCCTAATAATTAGTGCACTATCAAATTCAGGACCATGAAAAATGTGTTATAGACTCTGAAATCTGGGCTTGACTCCCAGGTAGCAGCTGCCACTCTCCAGCTGCCCAGCTCTGAAGGCAGCACTGATGCCAATAGCAGTGAAAAAGTAAGGAGAACAGTGTACTGCAAGCATGCCTGCAGTAACCTTGCATACCGCCCCCTCCCCCCCGAAAAAACCCTCTTTTTTTATAAGGACCCCTTCCATTACAACACCAGGAAATTTCAGATTTAAAGAGCTGAAATCACAACTCACACTTCAAAAAATCTTATGACCATGAAATTGGCCAAAATGGACTGAAAGTTTGGTAGAGCCCATCTGAAAATGGAGGCTCAGATAAATGGAGCTGTTTTGTTTTCATTTTTACACAAAATGTAAAAACTAAAGATTTTCCATTAACTCAAATTCTGCATTTTTCCCCAATGCTTTTCTGTGGCAAACAGATTCCTAGACTTCATTTTTATTAATTTATTAGCAGCAACCCTGTATAAATTATGTATTTCAAATAGATATGCTAGCACTAGTGAAGATACTAGACCATTCAAACTCCATTACTTTATAATGGATTGTGAGGGGGTCACTCACCACCATAGCAGGGGTCCATCATCTGTCCCCTGGAATCAGTCCATTCCGCCTGCACAGGCCTCCGCTCACGTGGCATTTCCCCTCCAGAACCTTCCGGTCACATTGCTCTCTTCGCCACACTGCCCTCCGGCAGTGCCCAAGTCACTCGCTCTGAGCCCCCCTTCCGGGGGTTTGGTGTCTCTCCGGCAGGCCTTGCCGTAGGCCTAGCAGGCTGGCCGTCCAAGCGCCCTGGCCCAGCCTGACTCTCTAGCCCTGCCCTAGCTCCAGAGAGCATCCTGTTTCCTCAGCAGCCAGGCTCACACTGCCTTTGCTGAAGCAGCCCTTCCCTTTTATAGCTCCCAGCTGGGCCTTAATGGGCCAACGCCGCCCAGCTGGGCTGAACTCCCCGGGCCTACTCCAGGCTGGGGTTTGGCTCTTAAAGGGCCAGTACAGGGCAGCTGCCCTGCTACATGGATAAAATGCAGAGGTCAGAAGAAGAGTGACTTTCTAGTACAAGACAGTGAAAAAGTAGCATGTTTTAGGCAGAGGTAAATAAGGTGCGGGAGGCATCTGTCACTAAAATGCTATTCTCAGGTTCTAATTACTAAAAATGGTATTGTGCGTGGGGATATACAGGATGAATTATGGATGTGGGATCTGAACTATGATCAGTGAAGTAAAACAGAATCATGGAACCTTAGTTCATTAGTATAGATGTTTCAGACAGTGCTTGAGACCTTGCTCCCAACAATGATAACTCAGCTTGATTGCAACTTTTAAAAAATGCTAGAAATATTGTTTTAAAATAGTTGTTGATACCATGACAGAGTTGAAGAAGCTCACTAACTGGAGGAGGGTCTGCAGATCAGGTATACCAAGGTAATCCACAACCAAATGAGTTGGCTAAACTTGTGTGCAGACCATTACAGCAGCCAGTATCTTTTTAGACCAGTACCAACAGGATACAGATGTCATATAATGTGTAATACATGTTATTCAAAATGTTATTTTACATGATATTGTATGTTTGTGTATATTTTTCAGTTACACTCTAATTCTGATAAAGGTGATGGATCAGTCAAGTACATCCTTACTGGTGAAGGGGCTGGAACTATATTTATTATTGATGACACTACAGGAGACATCCATTCAACTAAAAGCCTAGATCGAGAACAGAAGACACATTATGTGCTGCATGCTCAGGCTATTGACAGACGGACGAATAAGCCTCTTGAGCCTGAATCTGAGTTCATTATCAAAGTACAGGACATCAATGACAATGCACCAAAATTTAGAGATGGACCTTACATTGTTACTGTGCCAGAGATGTCTGAAATGGGTAAGGGAAATTTGTTATTCCTGTACTTTTAATGAATGAATCAACTAGTTCCTGTTTCACAGAGTTGACAAAGTATTTTCTTTATCATTAGTTATACACAAAAGTCAACAAAAGCTTGAAGGTTGTAGTAACAATAAGGCAACAAGATTTCAAATTAACATATGTTAGCTTTCCTTCTATATCTGTCCATGGTAAACATATACAATATGTTATACATGCAAACAGAAGAATGCTGTTCTCAAATGCTTGAATAATTTCACTCTCCTGGGTAACGAGTAATCGGAACTCTGGGAAAAAAACTGCATTTTTATATTCCCGTATCACTACAGTGTTTACTTAATTTTCAGAGGCATTTGTCTGTATAAATTAACTATGCAATTCATGGAGAGAATAAAACAAATACAATTAAAAGTAAATCTCCAGTTTATTTTAGACCCCTGACTTATAGGTTCATCTTTAGTTCTTTTTTATAAGATAAAGTGCAGCTCAGCTCTATTTTTTGCCCAATGATAGTTTTATGTTAGTTATTAATTTATATGTTCATGCATTTTGCTGCATCTTAATCAGTGCTATATTTAAAATAGCAGCAACATGCTAACAGTTCCCATTGCTTGTGGCTTTCCAAATAATAGCATCGATTTAGAACTTCGCTTTTTGTTGTTGTTATTGCACAGTGCCAGATATATTTCTTTTTTGCATGCAGGATGCATGGATCCAAAAAAAAATTCTTTTTTAGAAAACTCAGCTTTTGCAAGCAGTTTTTCCCTCCGAAACCTGTGGCCATGCACCAAGAGGTGATTGGAGATCATTATCCACCATAGTTCTAGAAGAGAATGGCTGGAAGTCCAAGACAAAAATAATCTTCCAAGTCCATTTACATAAAACATCATGGCTATGTCTACACTGGCATGATTTTCCGGAAATGCTTTTAACGGAAAAGGTTTTCCGTTAAAAGTATTTCCGGAAAAGCGCATCTAGATTGGCAGGACGCTTTTCCGGAAAAGCACTTTTTCCGGAAAAGCGTCTGTGGCCAATCTAGACGCGCTTTTCCGCAAAAAAGCCCCGATCGTCATTTTTGCGATCGGGGCTTTTTTTCAGAAAACACTACTGTGCTGTCTACACTGGCCCTTTTCCGGAACAGTTTTCCGGAAAAAGACTTTTGCCCGAACGGGAGCAGCATAGTTTTTCCGGAAAAGCACTGATGATTTTACATTAGAACGTCAGTGCTTTTCCGGAAATTCAAGCGGCCAGTGTAGACAGCTGGCAAGTTTTTCCGGAAAAGCTGCTGATTTTCCGGAATAACTTGCCAGTGTAGACACAGCCCATATGTTCATGTGTACTTTCCTCAAGTCAGCTAGTGTCTGACTAAACTTTCACAGAATGGAATTTATAAATATTAACTGGAAAAAAATTAAAGTGAACTGAATTGTTGGTATCTCATAAAAAGTGATTATTTTGATTATATGTTTAGGAGAGAAAATGTGATATAATTGAATCATGTTGCACTGAATTATGATGATGCACTGAATTATGATGATGGTTCATCATAATGGGCCAGATGCAGCCCCAAAAAATCAGGGGTGCTTTCTACAAAGCAGAAAAGCAGAGAGAAGGTTTTTAATGAGATGGTAATTTGTGAACATTTAAAAGCTTATGGGGGAAACATCTTTGGTGGAAATGAGTCAGTTTAAACATAGGTCTCTAGGGTTCCTTAAGTTTTTTACTCTAATCTTGCTATGTGAGTGGTCCAGGCAAACAGATGCATGTAGTAAAACAAAATATATAACATATTAGCATGAGGGCTGATCAAACAATTGTAGGTGGGACAAAACTGTGCTAAATAGTGATCTTGAAATATTCAGCGGCCATAGCTAGGATTGTAGTACAGTAAAACTCCAATAGTCTGGCATCCAATTGTACGGTGCTCCCGATAGTCCGGCATCAAAATGGCAGGAGCCTAGTGAGTGAGCTTCGGCAAAAAACGAGTCACAAGGCAGCAGCGGCAGCAGCTGAACCAAGCAAAACCAAATGGGACCAAGTCAGTCTGCCACTGGCATTGTGTGATGCTGGACAATGCTTGTGCTACAATAAAAAGGGTTAAAACACTTTATATAATCAATCTTATCTATCTATCTATCTATCTATCTATCTATCTATCTATCTATCTATCACCATTTTATAGTACCTCCTGATAGTCTGGCATATCCGATAATCTGGCACCACCTAGGTCCCAAAGGATCCAGATTATCGGAAGTCTACAGTAGTTTGAAAACATGAGACTGATTCTCCTCTTATTTTACTTTTTATAAAACAGCCATTCCACTGATGGAAATGGACTTATGCTGATACAAATTAGCCCCATTGGTTAAATACAATTCTTTCCCATCTATGCAGATTACTTTAACTATCTAACCCAGCAGAGTCAATATCATAATTTAGACAGGATCTAAATCAGGACCATGACTTTATAACAGGGTTCAAGGAAGTAGTAGATAAATTCATGGAGGTTAGGTCCGTCAATGGCTATTAGCCAGAATGGCTAAGAATGGTGTCTCTAGCCTCTGTTTGTCAGAGGCTGGAAATGGATGACAAGAGAGGGACCAGTTGATGATTACCTGTTCTGTTCACTCCCTCTGGGGCATCTGGCATTGTCAGAAGACCGGATACTAGGCTAGATGGACCTTTGGTCTGACACAGTATGGCCATTCTTAAGTTCTCTATTTGCTTCTCTCCTCAATTCTTTCCCCTTTCTAAACATCTCCCCCCTAACATCCACCACGACCCAGAGAAGTTTTTCCCACATACTTGGAATCCCTTCCTCTGCCCCTTTTCCTTACACTACCCTACTTTCAGCTTAAAACACTCTATCTACCTATTCTCCCAGCATCACATATCACCATGAATCCTCTCTACCTGCTCTGCACTTTTTATCAGACATTATAACTGGTCAGTGTTAGAGCTAAGATAGCTCTTCAGGTGACTGGTAAACTGCTTTCCTGCTGGCTTGATATCATTTCAAACAAAAGTTGCAACAGTGCTTATAGTTGTTTGTTCCTGTCTGAATCCATGACTCTTTCATGGATACTGGCTACATAATTGATTTATTGTCTTCTCTCTTGGAGCTGGTATATTTTTTTCTTCACAGAGGGATGTTTTGGAGTTAATCTTTATTTTTTTGTTTTACAGTTGCTAGTTTATATTCTATTCCTTGCAATATCTTCCAGTAATTTCTCATCGGCAGGGGCGGATATAGGGCAGGGCGAACGGGGCGACCGCCCCGGACCCCGCGCTTCAGAAAGCCCCACGCATGCACCGTGGCGCCACTGCGCATGCGCATGGTGTCACTGCACATGCGCTGTGGCAAAGGGGGGGCCCCGTGGAATTATGCTGCCCGGGGCCCCGCAAAACGGTCATCTGCCCCTGCTCATCGGACTGCACACTAGATACTTCAGACAGTTCTGTCTCCAATAAGACAACTTTCCATGAAGAACATTCACCTGTTTTACTTTTCCCTTTCTTCAAATTCTATATTTTAAAGCTGGTCATTACCTTAAGCTCATAATTCTCTGTCTCTTCAGCAGTCACTTTTTATCTATATAGTGAAAAAGTGAGTAAAGAGCAGATCACTGATGCACTCAAAGGCAAGAGCACATAAAGTATTGTTTTTTTCTTGTTCTTATCCGTAGTAACAAAAGACAGGACTATGAAGCACTTTAAAGACTAACAAGACGGTTTATTAGGTGATGAGCTTTCGTGGGCCAGACCCACTTCCTCAGATCAAATTGTGGAAGAAAATTGGCATGACCATATATACCAAAGGGAAGCTCATCACCTAATAAACCATCTTGTTAGTCTTTAAAGTGCTTCATAGTCCTGTCTTTTGTTTCAGCAAGACCAGACTAACAGGCTACGTCTACACTGGCCCCTTTTCCGGAAGGGGCATGTAAATTTCACCAGTCGTCGTAGGGAAATCCGCGGGGGATTTAAATATCCCCCGCGGCATTTAAATAAAAATGTCCGCCGCTTTTTTCCGGCTTTTAAAAAAGCCGGAAAAGAGCGTCTACACTGGCCCCGATCCTCCGGAAAAAGTGCCCTTTTCCGGAGGGTCTTAGTCCTACTTTGAAGTAGGAATAAGACCCTCCGGAAAAGGGCACTTTTTCCGGAGGATCGGGGCCAGTGTAGACGCTCTTTTCCAGCTTTTTTAAAAGCCGGAAAAAAGCGGCGGACATTTTTATTTAAATGCCGCGGGGGATATTTAAATCGCCCGCAGATTTCCCTACTACGATAGCTGAAATTAACATGCCCCTTCCGGAAAAGGGGCCAGTGTAGACGTAGCCACACAGACTTATCTCTATTATTATCCATAGTAGTTCACTTCCACTCAGTAGCTAGAATAGAGCTTGTTTGATTCTTCTATAGATAATAAACCATTTCATATCATTCCTGGCTTTACTTAATTCACAGCCACATTTAAATATCATGTCTCCTGATCATCAGCTTTTAGGGATTACTCAGACTCACTTTGGCTATTTTAGGACAACATTTTGGGTAATAAATCATTTTGTTTTAACTGAGAACACTGCTAATGCTAAGATGAAGCATCAGCAGCTACCGTGTGTGAAGAAAAACATTTTCTTTTTATGTTGAAAAGGTAGTTTGAAATTATTGTTAAAGAATATATTCTAAGAAAAGTCCCTGTGATTCAAAGAAAATGTTACATGTCATTGTTTACTGTAATCCGTCACGATTATTTCATTGCATGTTTTTGATCATTCTTTCTTTAACATATATTGATTCCCCTTCCCCCCTTTACACTTTCTGGTAATCTGGAAAGTCATTTCATATTGTACACTCTTTGTTTTCTTGTCAGTCTTTCCAATGATAGCTGACCACCTGTCTGTTATTGCTTTTTTGTAGTGTTTTTTTGGGAGGGTCTCTATCTCCCCACCTCCATCTTCATTTGGTGGATAGATTCAGCCCTTGTGTACTGGATCCACTTTCATAACATTTGACTTTCAGCTGGAAAACTATAAACAGCTAAATTTCTTGCCTTTTATTTCAGTATTTGTTAAAGAAGATTTTTTCCCCATTCAATGTAATTTCCTTGATTCTTGAATTACACATTACAATAGATCTGGTTGTAATGGTTTATGACTCCCTAACTCTCCTTCCCATGCACCTTTTTCTTTGTAAAGTCACTAGGGAGCGATGCCTGCTGCTTGCTACGCTTGCCAACCCCCCTCTCACTGGCCTCTTGAACGGCCAGAGAGCCTGTTAATCTTGCACTGAGCCTGCTGCGCTCTCCATGGCCCTAAGTCACTTGCACACTTCTCCACTCCCGCCCCATCGCACCCTTGGACAGGCTCCTCTTTCCAAACCCTGTCGGCCCATCCCACCTGCTTACACCCTTCAATCAACAGCCAGTCCTCCTCCCCCACACCGTTCTGGCTCCTACCCCCCTTGCCAATAAAATAGTTTGATTACATGCACACTTCAGAGCCTCCCTTGGCAGCCAGCATGGGGCTATGGAAAAGTAACCTGCCAGGAAAGGCTATGCTCAGTGGGCTTGTGGGCCTCACATGTAATGAAAACCAAACACAATCAGTAAAACGGGGCCCAATTTATTAAAAAGTAAATGTCTGCTGAGAATGCAAATTTGTGTGCATGAGTTGCTACAGTTTGCTGCGTTGTCAAAATCTCAGGTGGCTCAATGTTGAATGAAAATTTTAAGAAGTGAAAATAAGGTGAAGATTTCTGAAGGCTGGAGGTGTCTGCATCAACTGCATTGGGCTGAATTCTCAAAGGAATTGTCAAGGATTGTGAAATAGCAACATCCATAAAGATCACAACTTGAATTTCCTTCTGCAAAAGAAAACAGTAATTTCTCTAGCAAAGCCATAACACTTGAATTCCAACTATGTAATTTGATAAAAGTTCCTGAGTATGCATTCTAGAAAGTCTTAATTATTTCTTGTCCCTTTCTAATAGCAAATAAAAATGAAACTATAAATAAATAATTAAGCACCAATGCATATTTATTGATCTCGATAGAAAAAAATAAAAATGAGCAGATTATGTTAAACCGTGATGGTGTAGAATCATGATAGTGCCTCAGTCTACTAATCTTTTATCAGTGTATTAATTTCCAAAACAAGGACTTTTGGGGGCTGACATGTCTTTTGCGTGGTCTCAGTCCTGGAATGCTTAATACGTTCTTTCCTGGATAATGTTAACATTCATGAAACATGACCTTTCTTTTATTTTTCCTGTTTTTTGTTTCTCAGATAAGTAAGAAAAGGCTTTTTGTAACACAAAGAATAGTAGGTATGGAGGACTGGGATGGATCTTGAGAAGTCATTGAGTTTTCCTTCAGCACTGACAGAGGGCCAAGTTCACTTATCCCATATTTGACAGTTGTTTATCTAAGCTACTTTTCTTTGTGTATTCCGTAGCCTTGGAAGTTCTACTGTCCCTTGAAAATCTATTCTAGTCCTTAATTTAGTCTTTTTTTCCCTAACATGCAATGATGTCTCCCTTGTTTGCAGATTAAGCCCATTGCTACTTATCCAGTCTTCAGAATGCATGGAGAACAACTGATCACAGCCTTCTTTATATTAACCCTTAAAATATTTTAAAACAGTTATCAGGTATTTCCTCAGCAATGTCTTTTCTTAAGACTAAACATATCCAGTTTTTTAACCTCCTATGTCTTACATGTGACACTACTGTTTAAACACCCTAGATTCATATAGGCCTTTTTTCAAAACTACACATTGTTGACTCATAATACATTTCTGATCCACTTGAACTTCCAGATATTTTTCACCAGTGATCTCTTTTCTTGCTAGAAAGAAGGGATTCCTGGGGGGACGGATGACCCTGAGTAAATTTTGGAAGAGCATGTAAAAGTAATTGTATATGCACGTTTGAAGAGAGATTTGGAACTTTTATCAACTAAACCTTGTTTTCTTGATGTACAGGAACCTCAGTTCTACAAGTAACAGCTACAGATGCAGATGACCCTACCTATGGAAACAGTGCCCGGGTGGTATACAGTATCCTTCAGAGACAGCCATACTTTTCTGTTGACCCTAAAACAGGTGGGCATTTTATATTTTTTATAGTTTCATGCATCTGATAGATTTAAAGCTGATAATGTAGTAGATTGTAACCCAACATATGAATTTTTTCTCCTATTAAATTCTATCATTGACTTGAACACTCTTTAAGATATGAAAATTGCAGTTTTGTTCTATATCTACAAATAAAATGTTTATGCATGGAATTAATTCTTCCAGGAGTTATGATACAAGTCATTCAATCAAAGTGGAGTATTTCTTTTTTGTTCTTATAAGTTTAGGCCCAGCAAACAACTACACTCTACGGGTATGTCTACACTAGCCCCCTAGTTTGAATTAGGGAGGCTAATGTAGGCATTTGAAGTTGCAAATGAAGCCCGGGATTTAAATATCCCGGGCTTCATTTGCATCTTCCTGGGCGCCACCATTTTTAAAAGTCCCTTAGTCCGAACTCCGTGCCCGCGGCTACACGCGGCACGGAGTAGGTAGTTCGAATTAGGATCTTTAATTCGAACTACCGGTACACCTCATTCCATGAGGAGTAACGGTAGTTCGAATTAGAGATCCTAATTCGAACTACCGAACTACCTAATCCGTGCCGCATGGAGTTCGGACTAAGGGACTTTTAAAAATGGTGGCGCCCAGGAAGATGCAAATGAAGCCCGGGATATTTAAATCCCGGGCTTCATTTGCAACTTCTAATGCCTACATTAGCATCCCTAGTTCGAACTAGGGGGCTAGTGTAGACATACCCTACCTAGGATAATACACATACTATAAGAAGCAAATCTTGTTTGTTTTCTATAGTTGCAATATTGTCATTATACTGAAAATATGTTCTGTAAGACTTGAGTAGAATACGCTGAATTTATTAAACTTAAACTCTGTCCAGACCTTTTTCTTGGGCCTTGTGATCAAGTCCTCCCTGTCCAGGGTTCTGCAAGGGTTGCTGTTGGCTTACCAACTAATCTTCAGCCATGGGACTTGGTTCTGACCAGGGCTGAAGTCCAGCTCCCACTCAGAGCTGTCCAGAGTGCTGTTGTACTCCCAGTCAGCCCTTTGGTCTGACTAGGTCAAGCTCCAGGAAGAAACTGCCAAGCCCTGACCCAGCAGCTTCTTTTATATAGGCCTGCTGCACCCTGATTGGCTGCTGCAGAGGCTGCCACTCTGTTCTGCTTGGAAGACCTCTCTTCGGCTCCTTTGCTGGGCAGGGTGCAGAAAGGTCTCCAGCAAAGATATCGAGGCCTAGTCCACCCCATCACAATGGTATTACATGTAGATGCTCAACACAAACGCATTTTACTGCCACAAGTTTAGAAACTTGACTTCCACAATAACTAGAAAATGTTGAAAAATAATGCTGCATGGTTATTGGAATTTTTACAATTAACTGAAGGAGGAATTGTATTGTCATTTATGACAGATGCTAATTAATTCAGTTTTCCAGATATTAAAGGGGCAGATAACACAGCTTGTACTGTATGTGCTTTTGTGTGTGTTGAGCTCCATATGTGCAACTGTTAGAGGAATACATTTACTAGGTGGTCTGAGATAAGAGTATCCGAACCTGATCCTTGGTAATTTTTAAAAAAAAAAAAATTTTCAAGAACAATGAGTTCTAATTCTGTCAAGAAAAAAAAAAGCCTGTAGATTAAGATTGAAACATGAGATTTTGTTCTATGTCTTTAAGAGGTGTAGCATAAACTTCCCAGCCAAGGGAAGAGGATAAAAGTGGCATTATATATCATCTTTTCATGCCCTGAGATTTCAGACAACTACAGGGGCTGAAACAGCCCATGGAGTACTTTAAGCAGCCTTATGCTTGAAGAAGCTAAACCATGTTGCCTATAAATCCACTGTCATGGTGTCCTGAACAGCTTCTCTTGTCTGAGATTTGCAGAGGTGACCTTCATTTCTTCCCTATAGTGGCTGGCAATGGGAACTTCACATCCCATTTTGCTGTCACAGTATAAAATATAAAACAGCATAAAGATGCCAGAACGGGAGGGATAATTCCCTCCCTACATCATTTAATGATGAGCTTATTAAAACAATAGCATAGTTGGCTAATTTTTATACAGAAAAACTGGATACCAAGCAATATATTAATGATGCTTTAAATATTTTCCACTTCAAGTTGCTCATGCAGCTACCAATGGGGAAGATTCATCTGATTTAGAGTGTTCAGAACAAAAACTTTCCAGGATATATATCTATATCTATATCTATATCTATATCTATATATATGCGTGCGTGCGTGTGTGTGTGTGTGTGTGTGTGTGTGTGTGTGTGTTTACATAGATATATCAGATCCTTTACGAAGAAAATTGAATGCAGTGTGTTTTAGAGGTGATAGCATACTTGTATTTGATGGGTCAAGCCTTATGATGTGTTTGATAGTTGATTTTTAATAGTATTAATGTAGTCCTTATTATGATTACTTATAGTTAAATAGATTGCATTTTAAAATGATAAAAAATTAAAAATGGAAATTGAGAGTTAAGATTAGCCAGTTTTTCTCATCCTTGTACCTCGCCACACTATACACCATCCACATAATATCAGATCACAACTCTCTTGGCTGGGAAGTTTCCAGATAGATGGCAAAAATAGAATTCCAGCTCCTTTATTGTTCTTCTAAGGCAACATTCAATCTAATTCATGTTGGAGAATGGCAAACTGGAGCCAGTATATAGCCAATGGCTCATAGTGGAGATTTAGTTGTATATGGATGTTTGAATATCAAGACCTCATCAGGGAAGATAATAAGACAGACAGATATCTCTGTACTCAGAAACTGAATGGGAATAATTTGACATTGTTAAATTTCTGAAGCCCTGATGAGGATAGGCCATGTCAACCTTAAATAGTTTTGAACTTTATGTAGGTGGTAAGATGTGAAAATACTATGACTTCTTCATTATTTTGGAAATATGGGATAGAAGAAGGATAGGTTTTATTCTTAATATGGAAGGTAAAAAGTGACACATTGATAGAGATTGATGATGAGGATAGACAATATTGGAGAAAGGTATTTGGCTTGGTAGGTAGTTCCTATAATATTAGTATGCTGAGTTTGGTATGGTTGAATGGGGAAATTAAGATACTGATACAGTGTAGTGAATAACATTCAAGTGTTTGTAATCTAGATGTAGGATAATCAGCAATATAGCTGGAGAATATGAACAGTCTGTGTGAAATCTGAATTCTGAATTTTCAGATTCAGTCATTTGTATTCTTTACAAATACAACAGGTTATTTTCCTGGAATTTTTATTCTTTGTACTCTAATGAAGATTTTTATTTGGACATTCTCTTAGTATATATCTTGATATATAAAATAATGATGTACAAAAACCAAATATATATGGATTTGATTAAAATATAGAAGAGAGATGACAGAGAAAGTCTTATAAACTCCCCAGGAGTCTACGCAACAATCCATAGGGTCCTGGTCGCAATTCTTAAAGCTTCTTTGAATATTTGGCTATAGACATTCTAAATCTTTTTTAGCTGTCTGTTGTAAATACTGATTTTGAGAAGTTCACTCCTTGTAACTACAGTACTACATGATTTAGAATTCAAAGACTCCAATTCTGGACTTCAAAATAACCCCCAAAAGATCATCACGTTTGCAAAGCTGTCAAAGTCTAAGAGAATAAAACACATTTGAAATATTTTGATCAATAGTAATATTTTAAAACAATAAACCAGGGGTGGCCAACCTGTTAGAGTTAAAGAGCCAAAATAGCAGTTGACAGAGTGCAAAGAGCCATGTACCAGTGTGGAAAGTTGTTGAGCAAAAAAAAAACAAAAAACCCCCAGAGGAAAATAGGGTCTGGTACGCCGTCCCAGGGAGGGGGCTCCAGGCTGGACAGTGTTGAGGTCAGGTGGAGGGATGGGGTACTGAGCAAGCTGCAGGCTTGTGGCTGTGAGGGTGCAAGAGTTTGGGCTGGGGTGCATGAGGGACTCAGGGCAGTCTGGGAGTATGATGGGCTCAGGACACAGATTTGCCGTGTGTGGATGGAGTAGGAGTGTTGTGGTAGAAGACTGGGGATGAGGGGTTGCAGGAGTTTGGGGATGTGAGAGGCTCAGGACAGGGGGTTCCAGTGTATAATAGACTCAGGTTTGAGGTCTGGGGGAGTGCAGGAGTGTTATGATGCTGCGGCCAGATGGGGGCTTGAACCCAACTGGGGGCTTGCTGGCCATGTATTCTCAACTTCTTCCAGATGTCTGTTATCAGGACCTACGTCACCTATGGTGGCTGTCATCTAAGCATAATTTTTCAGACAATTTTGAAGAAGGGTGTATGACCATTTCAGGGCCTTCTTTTGTAAGTGGAGGAAAGATGGAGTCCCAAACCAAGGACCGATCACAAGCCATTAATTTCAAGAAAAAAATCAGAGCACGGATTGTGAATAAAGAAGGGGGATAAAGTGTTACAAAAGAAGACCCTGAAATGGTCATACGCCCTTCTTCAAAACTGTCTGAAAAATTATGCTTAGATGACAGCCACCATAGGTGACATAGGTCCTGATAACAGACATCTGGAAGAAGTTGAGAATACATGAGAGAAGAATGCTAGTGGTAGCACAGTCTAGCATGCTTCAGATCTTGATTGGCGCAGGCACGAATCCCTGACAGGACATAGGATGACAGTCATCACATCCTAAGAGGCTGTAGTGCTTTTACCCAAAACACAGCTAGTATGTTTATTCCAGAAAACAGCTAAGAGCATCAGTGCAAAGGATAGCAGGCTACCTAGTAGTCGAAGCTCGTTGCCCCTTTCCTGTGAAAATGAAGCTGGACATTGGGGCTTGGATTTACTTATGCTTTTTGCTTGCTGGGCAAATGGTCTGGGTGATTTGTGCAGTGCAGAATTCTATTATCCTTATCAACCTACTGACAAGATGTCTGCCTACCTGCTAATTGTCAACTGGCACAGTTTACAGTGCTGTTTTCTCCAGGTTTATGGACCTGCCATCTAGAGATGCTAACATCCTGACACTGTAAATGGAACCA